GGGAGAGGGAGAAATTTGAAGGAGAAGAAGAGGATATCTCTCAAGACCGCTTTATCTGAATATGAGTTTACAAAAAAGTCGTCTTCTAATTTATAGAGAGAGAAACTCGACTTGAAAAAGCCTTTGTCTTTTCCTTCTTCCCTTTTTATTTCTCTCCCTTGTTTGTTTTCCTTCTTTTTCTTTTTTATCACACTCTCTCGTAACCGACCTTCTTCCGTCTCTCTCTCTCTCTCTCTTTTGAATTCTTCGTCTTCATCATCTATACCGAGCACCTCTCTTCTCTCTCCTGTGTGTGTCTATCCCTGTAAATTGATTGCCATGGAGGTGTAGTAAAGGGGGAAACTTTATTGAAATCAGTTACGGAGTCGACAGAGCACAGAAGGTGGTGAACTTGCCTGTGTCATTAATGGGGTACTCGGGAGCTATTCAAGTGGTGACAATAGCTGCACCGGAGGAAGAAGAAGAAGACAGAAAGCTTGTTGGGGTTCCTTTCATGGCGTCTAGTACTAAACCCACCAACAACAACAACCACTCCATACACTTGGATCACCATCAACAACAAGTGCATCATCATCAAATGCAAGAGCAGCATCGTCATCATCACCATCATCATCAGTATAATCCCCATCATCACAATCATCATCAGAATCCTTATGGAATGATGCAATCATCTTCATCGTCATCTTCCATCCATGGAAACTTCATGTAATAATTTTCTCACTGCTATTTAAGCACGATACCCGTTTTTTCTTTGTCTGTATACTTAGCTTTCGATTGTTCTCTCTTACCCTCTATTCCAGTCACTCAATTTTCTTTTCTGGTTAATTTCTGGTCATACCCAGATGATTTTCTGTTTGGTGATTTTGGTTCTTATTCTTTTTTATGGGTAACAAGCAGAAACAAAGACACTGGTTCATATGATTTGAGCGAATTGGATCAAGCTCTATTCCTCTATCTTGATGGACAAAACCAATCAACTGTTCAAGACCAAAGGCGTAAGCTCCATATCTCTCTGTCTCTGTCTCTCTCTCTCTCTCTCTCTCTCTCTTCCTCTCTATCCATCTCCATCTCTCTCTGGGTTTCTCTGTACTTGGAAAATCATGTCAAGGATTTTCTTGTTCTTTTCGTTTTTGCTTTTTGATTTCTTCTGCTCGAGTCGCCTCTAGTTTTGTTTCCCAGAAAGGGAGATTCCTTTGTGGAAAGAGTTTGTTTGGGTCACAGGAAAAGCATGTGTTCTCAACAGATTAAAATCTCTGCTACCCAGTACTTTCTTTGACCAGATCCTGTTTGCAGAAACAAATCTTTGAATTAAAAAAACAAAATTCAAGAAAAAATTTATCTCACTTTACCAGAATTATTTATCTATCCATTTTTTTCATAATTGCTCCGAGCTTGGAGTTGTGGCATCACATGTAACAAAACAAACTAAACATTTGATCATCATCATCATCACTTTCATGCTGGTATTTCTCTTCATGTATACCCAACAAGTTTACGAATAGGGTATGGGTTTTTTCTACTTTTTACTCACATCCTTTTCGTCTCCTCCTTTATTCGGCCATAAATGGCAAACATCTCCTTATTCATGACGACCCCTTTAATTATTTCTTACAATTATTACTCATTTTCTTCCTCCTCACAGCTCTGACTTGGGTCCGTATAAATCTAAATCTCTGATATGCTTAAGAATTTTATATTTGCAGAGAATTCAGGAATGAGGCCTCCGACTTTGAACATTTTCCCATCTCAACCTATGCACGTAGAGCCATCGTCAACGAAGGTTCTTCTTATTTTATGATTACAAGCTTTGGTTTATTGCTTTTTGATTCCAGACCGCTACCATTTTTAAATATTATATATATATTTATAATGGGTTCGTTTTTTCTTTTGTGGGTTTGGTAGACAAGTACTGGATTAGTTTCTCCTCCAACTAGCGGTTCCAAGAGACCATCGGACCCGTCCACGGGGTTGGCCAACGCTAGAAATGATGCTCCTCCATCTGGACCTGAGCCAGCTAAAACCATCAAAGTCAGTGAGAATATATATATAGATATATATATTATCTTAGTATTAAAACTGAGATTCTGAGGTCTTGGTTTTTTTGGTCAATTCCATTATTGAAATATTTGCCTTATGTTGCGATAGAGAGAAGGAAACCGTAAAGGTCCAACTTCTGGTTCAGAGCACGAAGGACCCAAAACACCAGATGCTAAGGTGAACCTTCTCTCATTAGCCTTATATATACATACATATAGAATCTATCGTGTGCTTATATATTCTTTTTACACATCTTTATTGTAAGAATGTTCAATCTTTGACATGATTATTAATTTCCACCAGACATTGAGAAGACTTGCTCAAAATAGAGAGGCAGCAAGGAAAAGTAGATTAAGAAAAAAGGTCAGTGATTAATCCTTGGACTTTACTTGTCCATTTCTATACTCTAATTTTTCTCCTCAGATACAAACTGAGTTTCATTTGATTTGTCTTAGCTTTTCCTCCCTCTTTCAATTTTTTCAATCCTTCCAGGCTTACGTTCAGCAACTAGAGTCGAGCCGGATTAAACTCACCCAACTCGAACAAGAGCTGCAAAGAGCTAGAGCTCAAGTAAGCAACCTTCTTTGAGCTTCACCGCTTAAGCAACAAGTGACCTTTCATTTGTTTATAATATATATATAGCCATGTGATGGAAGATTGATTCTTGCTTCGTTTTAGGGCATTTTTTTTGGAGGAGCTGGTCTTCTCGGCGGTGAGCAAGGTCTTCCTGTTGGTGTCAACAATATAAGCTCCGGTATTTTATATATATATAAATATATATATATATATGTATATATGTATATCTCCTATCCAACGCCATATATTCTTCTATGTTCAAAGTTCAAGCATTGCCTCGTATGTACTTATATATAAATGTTTGATAGATGCGGCCATGTTTGACATGGAGTACGCGAGGTGGCTAGAGGAGCACCACCGGCTGATGTCGGAGCTCCGGGCGGCGGTACAGGAGCATATACCGGAAAACGAGCTGCGGCTATTCGTGGACAACTGCTTGGCACACTACGACCAAGTAATAAACCTGAAAGCCATGCTTGCCAAAACTGACGTCTTTCACCTTGTCTCCGGCATGTGGAAGACTCCCGCCGAACGCTGCTTCATGTGGTTGGGTGGCTTCCGCCCTTCCGAGCTCATCAAGGTAAACCCATAACCCTATACATATCTTTATGTACATATCCTCACATACATATCTTTAAATATATCCTCAGTATGAGCTGCACCCCTATCCTCAAATACTTAATTCTTTTTATTAGTTTCTTGGTCTTGTATATAAACAAGAACAATATATTAGGTATAGTTTGTGTATATTTCATGGAGAAAATTGTTTGTGGGTTAGCGTAAACTAGGGAAAGAAGATATGAACAACAAAATGAATTATTGGGAAAGTTATGGTGAGGGTTTCTATTAAAGGGATCAGTTAGGTGTCATTGAGATAAAGCCATGCACCTGTTACTACATTTTCTGGATTTGAAAGAGATGATAGAGTTGGATTTCTTACTCATCATTTTTGCTTTCTCTTTCTTATTACCAAGCAACATAGATATCAAATACATATGTATATATATATACACAAGCAAGAATGTGATCTCTTGTTCTCATCTTCATTTCTGTATTTGTCCTATAGCTAGTCAATAATATATAAACGAAAAACATCCAATCTTGCTTATCGGAACTTCTTCATCATGAACACTACAAGTACATATACATGTAAAACCGACATGTATATTTTTCCACAATGATCACTCTTGTCACCTTCCGTTCTGGTTTTTTTAGGGTGATTTTCAAAATCATTTCTTTATATATCTTCCTCTGTTCACTTGTTTCTAGTGTATAAATAAGAAAAGAATCACCAGACTTGCGAAATCAAAACTCGACCATGACCATTACCGTAAACACACACATGAAATGTATAACCCAATTCTATACGAGATCTAAATTTTCCATGAATGGTAAGCTTTATAATGAGGGGTTTGTGATCTGGGTAAGTATAAAAATGGCTGCAGATAATACCGAATCAAGTGGAGCCATTAACGGAGCAGCAAATCTTGGGGATATGCGGGTTGCAACAGTCGACACAGGAGGCAGAAGAGGCTCTGTCACAAGGGCTTGAAGCTCTTAATCAATCATTATCAGACACCATAACCTCTGATTCTCTGAGCTGCCCAACCAACATGACCAATTACATGGGCCAAATGGCTCTTGCCATCAACAAGCTCTCCACTCTCGAAGGTTTTGTCAGACAGGTGCGTATACTTCTATATATTTATATCGTATAAAACATTTTTCTATATATTTTTGGTTAGACCATGCATTTTATAAAGCATTAAGTTGATGGTGGTGAGGGAGTTAGTATACCGTATGATTTGCCTGTGGGGCCCATTTGAGTTTGATGAATGGGTGGTGGGTGGGGTCCATGTGTCAAACGAGAATCTGATGCTGTCCTTGGTAGCTATAGAAAACCTACCACATTTCTACGAGAATAGATGGGGGGGAAGCTTACATATATATATATACATACACATATACACGTGTCATCTACGTACACACCATACATATATCTATACACACATATATATACGTGGACATAGAAGGGTTTGGCATATTAATTTTGTTAAAAATATAATTAATTTCTAAAAAAAATATTAATCCAACTAAAGTTATATTTTGATATTTCCACGTGGCGACTCACTGGTCCCCACACCAGAGTAAAAGACATGATTTCTCCCCCCAACCCCAAGAAGAGATGGAACTTGAAAAAAGCCCATCTTGGTGGTGACGTCATGCTCTCAACCGTTTGACTTTTTCTAAAGTTGCGTGAAAGTTCACCTCTCCAATCTGTTATAACTCCCTTCAAGTAATTATCACATAAATTCCAAAATATATGAAAAATACATTTAATGATATTAATATATTAATTACGATAATATACAATATAAAAAATAATGTTATATTAAATTTTTATTCAAATTTTTTTATTTTTATATTTATTATTTATTTATAAATAAAAAATTCTTGCATCGAAGTTTTTAATAATAAAAAATCAATTCATATTTGTCAGTATCTAATTTTTTATCTCACATTAATCGGTATTTAAAAAATATTATTATTTTATCTTTCGAGTAAAATGTGTTCTTTATTTTTAATTTTATAAATAAAATATAATTATTTATCAGTATCTAATTTCTTTTTATCTCTTATCAATTAATATTTAGAAAACGTTATTATCTCATCTTTCAAGTAAAATGTATTCTTCGTTTTTTATTCATAAAAAAAAATAGTTGTACCGAAGTTTTCAATAGTAGAAAGTCAGTTTATATCTATCGGCATTTAATTTTTTTATCTTTTATTAATTAGTATTTAGAAAACGTTACTATCTCATCTTTTAAGAAAAACGTATTCTTCATTTTTTATTTTCAAAGTAAAAAATATTTATATTAAAGTTTTCGATACTAAAAATTCAATTTGTATTTGTCAGTATTTAATTTTTTAACCTCGCATTAATTAGGGTTTAGAAAATATTACTACTTTATATTTCAGGTAAAATGTGTTCTTACTTGATAAATTTACTACGAAAATGTAATTATTTCACATGGGTTTATTTTAACACTGATCATATAATTAGTCTTATCTATATAAAATAGGTTGTTAGTATTTGGTTTATACATTTATAGTACAAAAGATTGTATTATTTAAATCAATTATACCATGTTTCAAGTAGGAAATTGATTTCACATATACAAAAAAAATTCATTTTATATTAATATATAGTTTTTTATTTACCTACATAACCATATACAAGACAAATAGAAACTATATCTCAATAAACATACGTTATATTAAATACATCTAATACATCTAAAAGATATATAATTAATAATTTTAATTTAGAGTGTAAAAAGATTAGTTATAATTTCATAATTAGCATATATAACTATAATTAATAATTGGGTTAAAAACCTCTCACTAATTTCTCTAGAAAATTATAGGGGGGGTCATGTTAGGAGTTATTTAGAACGAGAGTGGGTCCTCCAAATATTGGAATATCGAACTTTTTGAAAAATAATGTGATTGTACTTTTCTTATGAAGAAATTTGATGTCATCTTAAGACTATGGTGAATTAATAAGATTTCAACTCGATCATTTAATAATCTAGTCAAAGAGAGGAATTTGATTTTGAATTTATTTCAATTACGATCAACTTAATTGTTTTTTAAGTAAAATATTTCATATTTACGTGATTTTAAATATATAATTTCACGTATTAACTTATACATACGGTATTTCTAAACTTTTGTTTATGAAATGTTAGTAGGGAATTATATATGTTATAAAGTCTGAGTTATATTGGGTTTATGATCGGTTTATATCATATAATTTACGAATATATACGTTTTGAGAAATTATTGTAATCTCCTTTGGATTTTCAAATTTGTGTTTTAGAGTAATTTAACTTCCTACACCCATTTGAAAAATAAACCCTATTAGCTCAACAAAGTCATGGGTAGATATAGCCTATGTGAAAATTTTTAATTATGCCTTCATCAGAAGTCAAGTTAGCTTAATCTTGTTTAGTCCAATGTGTGTGCGAGTTAATCAAATTAATTAGTGATAATGGTGGTTTGATTACTATTATTTCCATGGATCTCAATGAAGAACTAACTAATGATTCTTTGAAAAAAAATAATAATAAAAACTCACAGGCTGATAATCTGAGGCACCAAACGCTTCACCGGCTGCAGCAAATTCTGACAACCCGTCAAGCGGCAAGATGTCTACTGGCGATCGCCGAGTACTTCCACCGTCTCCGGACGCTAAGCTCGCTCTGGTTGGCTCGACCTCGGCAGGAATGAAGTGATAGAAGAAAAAGATAAAAAAGAAAAAAAGGAAAAACCCTAGCTAGGCCATTTTAGTCAACTTTGATATTTCTTTAAAATCTCTCTCTAGTCTTTCTCTTTTAATCTCATATAACTGTATTCTCTCTCGGGTAATTTTCTTCATAGATTATGTATAGGTATAGACAGTTAAAAATATATATATATAGATTTGATCAGAAGTTTCTCTCTTTTTCTTCTTCCTCGCTCTGTTTGGTTACTGAGAAAAGAAAAAACCGGCAGCCATGGGGATGATATTTCTGGTACTTAGTGAACAAGAAGAAGAAAAGTAAGAGATGGGTTTTTTTCCTTCTTCTTCTTCTTCTTCTTTTTGTTGGGTTTTCATTTTTGTTTGTGTTGGATGAAGAACGAGACAAAGAAGGATTGAAGGGGAGGAAGAAGACGGGTGTTGGGAGATGTAAACGTACACTTGGGTGTTGCATGCATGGTTTTTATTACGTTTTTTATATACACAGCTGACAGATTTAACTGCCATTTTTATATACGTATAGGACTCCGGTCCTACTTTTCTAGGGTTCAGTACCATATCGAACTGTGTTCTAAGTCTGAACAAGATCTCTTGATAAGTCCTTTTCTCTTCTTTTCTTTATTGCAGATGATTGTCGTCACACGTCATACTTTAATAATTAATAATTAAGGAGTTAATTAACATTAATCTGTTTATTTAAAATTTATATCGAATTTCTAATTCAATAAATTTATTTTAATTAACTAAATATAATTCTATTAATAAATATTATTTTAATTTATTTATTTTTTTAATTTTTTTATTTAATGCGCTTAATCTCGAATTATTTCGACTAATGACTTTTATTTTATAGGTCGAATAAACCAAAATGCACTCCATTTCCAAATTGAAATTTGATTACTTGAAGGTTTAAGCAACCTCTAGAAAAATCAAACAAAAAGACAATTCTCATAATGTATGTATTTGTTATTAACAAAACTCCAAAAATCAATTTAAATTTTCCTACTCGTTTTGACTTTTTTTATTTTTTGACTTTTTTAATAAAAAAAATTTGATTGTGTTAAAACCCGTTAAAATTTGACTTTAAATTTTTTGTTTTTGTTCATAAATAACACGAGTCCGTTGAAACTAAACATAATTTTATTACATTAACTTTATTAAAACACTGATGAAATAAATTGAAACAAGTATTATAAATCGATAACTGTTACTTCATAATATAAAAATATATTGACTAGTTCGATATTTTGAGTAAAGTTTAAATTTATAATTTTTAAATATAATATAATATATTAATTATTATACCGCTATATTGTTAGTTGTTTGTTTGTTTTAACTCCACATTATACGTATACATATTGATCACGTAATAATTATAATATTTTTTATTTTTTTAATTTAGATTAATTCGAATTATTTTATATTAAAAAAATATATAATATTAAATTTTTCGTGAGATATAAAATAATATATAATTAACACCGGATGGGTGATATTTTAAGTTAATTGTGTTAATTTATATCGGTAGAATATGCTAAATCGAAAAAATTTCAAAAGTAGAGAGATTAATTTGATTAAAAAGACGAGTGATTAATGGAAATAAAATAAATTAATAACTATTTTAACCATTTGAAAAATATTTATATTTTTTTATTTGAAATTTATTGAAGTTTCTCAGGACCATCTCTTGTTATGGGGCTTGTCCGGGCCTGCGGAAGGTTGATGGAGAAGAGCTGATCCGTATGTAAACTTCTTGCTCTTGGGTCAGCCCGATTTTGAGACAGTCTAGGGTTTGATATCAAACCCGCTTCTCCTTCTCTTTCTTCGTCTTAACCTCGAACTCCCTTGGTTGAGTGAGATACAGAGGGAGACCAGATTCGACAAATGGCGGCAAAAGGGAGGAACCCAGGCCGGAGTCGCAACCCAGATATTGTACGCGGCATTGGGAAGTACTCCAGATCGAAGATGTATCACAAGCGAGGCCTTTGGGCTATTAAGGCCAAAAACGGCGGCGTTTTTCCTCGCCACGATGCGCAGCTAGCTGCGGCGGAGAAATCAACCGCCCAGAAACCGCCCAAGTTCTACCCAGCCGACGACGTTAAGAAGCCGCTCCTGAACAAGCGCAAACCCAAGCCCACCAAGCTCAGGTTCCCCTTTCTCTTAACATTTCAATTCTACCCTGACTTTTGTTCATCTGCTACTAAGAAAATATTAGTAGTAACATTTTGAATTTTGTAAGGGTAAAATGAAAACTAGGTTTATGGTAAATGCAGGTCGAGTATTACTCCAGGGACTGTGTTGATATTGTTGGCGGGGAGATTTATGGGAAAGAGAGTTGTATTCTTGAAGCAGCTTCCGTCTGGGTTGCTTTTGGTTACTGGTGAGCTTGCTTTCTGATATATATAGGAGTGCTAATACATATATACATACGGTCATATACTCACACACACATACATTCATGTATCCTTCATGATTTTCACGCTCTTATACTCCAGGCTGGTTTTCATCTGATTTGGAGTTGTCCACGTTAGGCACTAAATCGAGACTAAGAATGAAGATTCCTTTGTATTAAATTCTCTTTTTTGTAAGAAAATTTGACTGGGTAGTTCTCTGTTTATAGGGGTGATTCTAGACTGGACAATGGTGTTTTCCATCTCTTCTACATCTCCTGTTTGGTTGCTTGAATGCTTGTTTTTTCCATGTCATGATAGGGCCATTCAAGATCAATGGTGTTCCTTTGAGACGCGTGAACCAATCATATGTTATCGCAACTTCGACCAAGGTTGACATCTCTGGAGTTAATGTGGAGAAATTCGATGATAATTACTTTGCAAAGGAAGTTGACAAGAAGAAGAAGAAGGGTGAGAGAGAGTTCTTTGAAGCTGAGAAAGAGGTTAGTTTATAGTTTCTCGCTTGTAATATCATTTGAAGAGCTTGCTTGTGCTTCCTCAGTTTCAAAGCTTATGTGTTCTTGAAATGTTGCAGGAAAAGAAATCCCTGCCCGATGGGAAAAAGGAAGACCAGAAAGCTGTTGATGCCCTATTGATTAAGTCCATTGAAGGAGTTCCTGACTTGAAGCCTTATCTGGCTGCCAGATTTTCACTTAAGGCCGGCATGAAACCTCATGAGCTTATTTTCTAGATCAAGCATCTCAGGCATCTTGACATATGGTTTATTTTGAATTCCTTCAAATTGTTTGATTAAATGATTAGATGTTCAGTTTGCTACTTGGCTCAAAAAATTTTGCCTTTTTTATTTCGAATGTCTATCATGAAAAGATTGATATCATATAAAATGAGCTTCTTTAGTGCGTTTTTAACTTCAGCTTGAGTTCAGATTTGCTTCCTGTTATTGTTAATTTCAACTTGAAAAAGGCAGAAAGAGATGATTCGCTGATCAAAATAGAAGTAATCTGGAGATGTTATGAAAAGTTAAGAATATAGTCTTCATTTGATGTTATTTAAAAAAATAGAATATAGTCTTCATTTGATGAGTGATAGGCTGATAATTTGTTTTTAAATTCATTTCCTCGACATCTTGGTTTAAAACCCATTTTGCTTGGGTTTCTAATTGTTCTTGATGACTTATAAGAAACTGATTATGACATTTGAGTTTAGCTTCTTCCATTTTTCTCTGAGGCGTTTTTGGCTTCTCTCAGCTGAAAAAAATTTATTTGGTAGTTAACTACTTTGATTAGGCTCTTATCCGAAAACAAAGAATTTCTGAAAACAGAAGTGATAGAATAGAAATTAAGACACTGGGAATACAATCAAAAGCACAGAAGTCTTGAAATTAAAACAAAAAGCAATCCTTTTGAGGTATATCTGTTATTCATCAGATCAGAGCATGCTATCTGCTCGAGATGGTAACCTTCTGAAGAAATTGCTGGGTGCTGGGGGTAGCTTGCTTCTGAATCTTGGATGCCGCAGCCAAAACAAGCCTGCAACCAAAGTAATAATCTGAACGGTGTTACATAGAGCACTACAGCCGTGATGAAGCAAAAAACCACGAATAGGCTGGTTGCTCTTGGGTCTCGCCAGCTGAGCAGAGCGTGAAATCTTTCCCCTTTGTGTCGCAATATCCCCCACAACAGTCTGAATCCTCCCCGCAACACTCCTTAGCCTGTCATACCTCATCCGTGCCACATCCTGGGGCTTAGATGTAGGAAAAGTGTCAAACTCCTCGTCTAGTTCATCTGGGTGCACTGCCTCTGCCCAAGAAAGCTTGGTATCCATGTGAGCAGGATACCTTGGTCGGAATCGGTAATTCCATATCCCAATCAAAAACATGTAGAGGAAAATTGTAGGGAGGATTAGTTCCGGGTAGCAGACTAATATGAAGAACAGAACGTGGACTAGGATTGTGCTCACTGGATTCTTCCAGTGACAAACTTCACCAAGCCACTTGCTCATCGTGATTACTCCGGAGAACAGAGAGACAATCCGAAAGAAATTAGCTTTGCTCCTCCGCATGCTCCACATGTGAGAATCCACATCAAGCATGTACTCGACTACCTCTTTTCTCAGTGGTGGCTCTGCTCTACCGAGTCTCATTGCCACAATGTTCATAGCTTGGTATCTGAGGCTATCTAACTGGTTTACAGTGAAAGGATGCAAGTAATGCATCTTTGGCAGTAAGGGGTGCCAGTAGAGGTAAATCATATTAGCTAGGGACAGACAAGTGAAACGAAAAGCTAACTGCAATTCTCCCATTTTCTTTACCCCAGATGGTTGCAGTACAAGAAGTGGGTAAGAGTGGGTGTAGATTCGATCAGTCTCTAATGTTGACAGTCGGATTCTTACCTTACCAATCCTCGAATCATTCTTAGTTCCACTGCCTGGTTTCTCATTCCCGCCCAAATGGCAGTTATCAAAAACTCCCAGTGTAATCACTGTGCAAGGATCGTAGACCTCCCACGTGTATTGCTCGTTCCATTTGGGATTAAAGCTATCAATGATTGTCCTGGTTCTTACCCATTTTTGTCCATACTTGGCTACACAGTAAGCATCTGTTGTTCCTTTACCGTCCTTTGTCTTCATTGATTGAAGCCCTTGAGCACTCAAGATTCCAACTTCAAAGATTCCAATTGGCTGCTTCCAAAGCTGCCTAGCAGTTGGTCTTTGGTCACTTATGTAGAGTGTTGATTCGTCTAGGACATGGTAAGCTCCTTCAAGACAAACTCTCAGATGAATTCTGCTGGAAAATTTCAGCTCGTTCCTCTTATCTCCCTCCAGAACTCCGAACCCAAATTTTTCCAGGTTAAACCATCTTGAGTGGACTGGCCGGTGATCCAAGCGCCTTTCAAAGATGGTGAGTGGCAAACTTATCTTTCCCATAGTCTCGTCTTTTGAGCCACTTGCCTTGTTTTCAACTGTGAGCACCAGCTGTTCTTCGAAAGGCTCAGCCGCTACAAAAATCAGATCCTCATTCCACATAGGGTTGGTTGTCTTTGTTGGACATAACTTTGTCTTGAGCACCTGATTTCCAAGATGAGCCTTGACAAAAGCCTGAGGCAATTGGCTTCTGTCATGAGGCTCTAGATCCTGAGCTTCAATTACATTTACTCTCAGATACCATAGCTTTGGCGAGACATAAACTTTAGACCGGACACTGTAAACACCTTCTCCAGAAACCGAAGTAGCATCAGAATGCCAGGCTTCCGGAAAAGCTTCATCGGATTGAGTTCCCATCCAAACAGCAAGCATTACTTCGCCTTTCATCTTGCTGTCCACCCACTTGCTCTCTAATCTATACCATTGAGGCGCCAGAGGACTATCTGGTGGCACCCTTGTTGGAACTTCATTCATGTCAAATATAACTTTACCCACATAATCATCTCTGGCCACCATTTCTTTGTCTCTGACAAACACTTCGACCACTGAGGACTGAATCTTGTCCTTGGAGAATGCAAAGACCTGATTCCATTCTGGGTTTGTTTTCTTCTCAAAATGCTTTGTTTTTCCCCGGTAATTTCCAACCTTCACTTCAATGTAGGGGTCGCAGCTTCCAGTCACTGGATTTGTGGGAAGATCTTTGGCTTTCACCACACGAACATACAGATAAAACATCTGCTCAACAAGATCGTAAGTGCTCGTGGCTCGTTCGCTACAAATCCAACCACTACGGACTACTCCATGCGGCCATCGTTCCCCAAGTTGAGGTTTGGTGTCTTTCAGCTTATAGTCTTCTTGAGCTACTGGATTCATCAGTGGCAACCTCTAAAATCCTCCTTGCAGTTCTCTGTTGAATAGCTGCAAATTCTGAACTTCCTATATATACTTGAGTTTCTATTTCTTCCTTCTCTCTTGTTGGACTAGAGGATTGGTATAACTTCAGAAACTGAGACAGAAAAGACTAATATGAACAATAAAGTTATAGAAAGTCACTTATCTCCAAAAAAAAAAATGAACAAAGTTATAGCAAGAGAGCTTCGTTCATCTCACCGTTGATATTTAACAAAACTTCTTCACTGTTGCAGTCAGAATTCGAGCTTTGGAGATTCCTATACTTCATGGAACTTTGCAGATGTGTTTGTCTTTCTTCTGCAGATCATGGAGAAACCAGTATATCATTGTTTAGAATGAAACTTCCGGCGAAACAGGTTAGAAAACCTTCTGGGTCTTTTAGCTTTATGAGCATCTAAATCCATTAGTGGACTTTCTGGTAGGCAGAAGAATCTTGGTTTTCAAAGAAAAAGGTGATATAAAAGAATGGTGATTGAACTGTAATTGGTGTAAAGTACTGGCGTTAATTGAAAGCTTCAAAGCAAATTGAGACTGGTTTTAATGGTGGTGTCCAGAAGATTAATTGAAAAGGAATTGTTTGGGTTCCCTAAATCCCACATAGGAGGGGGAAAAAAGACAGATGCCCAACTTTCTTAAAGGGACAAATGGAGTCTTTTTAAGTTCTGAAACAGGATGAGACTTGGTGTATTCTCACTTTCCTAGATTCTTCTAACCTTTCACGAGCTCTGTTTCCATGTCAAACGCTCTCTCCCTCTGTGTATATCTCATATATATGGGTGTGTATATATATGAGCTCGTACATAAAAGATGCTTTATAGGCCGGACCCGTTATATATTCTCCATCTTTAGTTTCTTTTCTTACACTCAAATTGCGGTGGATGCCAAATAATGGCCTTTTTTTTGGAGGAATTTGGAGTATTCTTTACACTTTAGGCTCTCTTAATACAAGTTCATCACTTTTTTATCTTTTAGTTGTCAAAATATTTTCTTATAAATCCTATCAAAAACTTTACGTCGCAAGAGAAATTTATAATCATTTTCGTTAAAAGTTTACATCGAGATATCGAGTTTTTCTAATAGAATTTAACTATTCGAGGTTGAGCCATTCTCTTATTGTGTTTTAAAAAAATATTTTAATTTTGATTAATATAGTTTAGGAAAAAAAATTTGGTTCTTTATTTTATGCACAAATATGAATATATCAGCAATTTTTGAACACTTAACTAATAATTTTGGTTCTTTAAAAGCCCATAGAGGCCCACTTAAAAGCCCATTGAGCCCCACGTTGAGCTCATAAAGACCCACTTTAAGCCCATCAAAGCCTACATTGAGCCCACAAAGGCCCATTTTAAGCCCATAGAGGCCCACTTGAAGCTTATATATGCTCGCTTAGGGAACAGGTTACTACTCTAACGGTCAAAGCGAACCCTTTCGTTCTGACATTCTGAATTCTTTAATTCGGAACGAATCAAATCTCCCCAAATAGGATTCGAACTTACGACCAGTCAGTTAACAGCCGACCGCTCTACTACTGAGTTAGTGAGGAACAACGGGAGATTAGATCTCATAGAGTTCAATTCCCGTTCTCAACCCATGACCAATACGCCCATAGAGGCTCGCATTAAGTCCGTGTATGCCCACTTTAAGTCCATAGAGGCCCACTTTGAGCCCATAGAGGCACACTTTGAGCCCATAGATGCCCACATTGAGCCCATAGAGGCCCACTTTGAGCCCATAGAGGCCTATTATTTTCATATGGTTGGATCTGAATCATAACAGGCTTACAGGAGTACTCTAAGAACCTGAGTTATATATCGCAGGACTGTGATCCAATTCTTGTTGGTGGTGAGTTTTGGGGAGCTCGATCCTCTTTCGACTCCCACGTGAGATGCCACGTCTTGCCGAATTGCTGGACTAAAGTGAATATTAATATATATAATTAAATTAACATGATACATGAAAGCAAAAAACAATTCATCCCTTCTCTCCAGCTCCTTCCATAGATCACATCAGCCTCCTGCAAACTTCAAACCCTACTCTTACAAGAAATCATGAAAGCCCTTCTCCACTTCATCGTCGGTTTCCTCATCCTCTCTCCTTCCCTCGGCGAGCTCTGCAACACAGAAGACAAAAAAGTCCTCCTCAAGATCAAGAAAGCCCTACACAACCCTTACCACCTTGTCTCATGGGATCCTAAAACAGACTGCTGTACCTGGTACTGCGTCCATTGTCATGACACCACCCACCGGATCGACCAGCTAAATATATTCTCCGGCGATATCAACGGCCAAATCCCGCCGGAAGTCGGTGACCTTCCCTTCCTCGATTATCTAGTCTTCCGCAAACTCACAAACCTCACCGGCACTATACCACCCACCATAGCCAAACTCAAGAACCTCGTCTCCCTCACCCTCAGCTGGACAGACCTCTCTGGCCCAGTTCCAGGCTTTCTCAGCCAGCTCAAGAACCTAGACTACTTGGATCTTTCCTTTAACAAACTCTCCGGCACCATACCTAGCTCCTTCTCTTCCTTCCCCAAGCTTCGCACTCTTCACTTGGACAGAAACAAGCTTACCGGGTCGATACCGGAGTCTTTCGGATCCTTTCGCGGGGAAGTACCCGACTTGTTCTTGTCCCACAACCAGCTCGCTGGTAAGCTTCCAGTCTCGCTAGGGAAAATGCAGTTTAGAACTATTGATTTGTCGTGGAACAGGCTTCAGGGTGACGCGTCCATGTTGTTTAACACGCAAACCATGGTGATTATTCTGTCGAGGAACTCTTTTGAGTTTGATCTTTCGAAAGTGAAGTTACCCAGAAGCTTGGTGTGGCTGGATCTGAGCCACAACAGAATCAGAGGTAGCTTACCGGCAGGGTTGGCCCGGCTTCAGTTGCAGTTCCTGAACGTAAGCTATAACTTTCTGTGTGGGAAGATCCCGGACGGCGAAGAGCTGGGGAGGTTCGATTCGTCGTCTTACTTTCATAACCGGTGCCTGTGCGGTGCCCCTCTGCAACCATGCAAGCTGAAGTAATTAGTGGAATGAATTTACGTTAATTAAGAAGTGGTTAGGCTGGTTTAGTCGATTAGTACGAGGCTTAGTGCTTTGTTTAATTATGGTAATGTCTGCTTCTAGTGTTGGTTTAATTTGAATGGGACAAGCTTTGTGATCAGAGTGATTGCAGAGAATAAATTCGAGAATGTACGTATCACCAGTTCTGCAAAGAATCAATATGAGATGTCACACCTCTATTTTCAAGAATCAAATTGTACGAATGATCTTTTCTATTTTGGTATAAAATGTTAAATGCATACTAATATTGTTAATCTACGGTAAAAACTCTTCCCAACTTATCGATAGATATAATTCGTTCGTTATGAATAGTTTATCGGTTCGGACGTAGATGTTCTTATTCGGACATCTTATTTGGGCTATTGGATTTATATGCTTAATTTTATGTTATGTTTGAATTGATTGAAACTTTAGCATAGACTCACGAACGTACACTTTCGACAAATTTGATTCGATGGAGAGATAAACCAGTGACTCTTTCAATTGTCGAAACAAGATTGGTTGAATTAGCCAACTTATATGTAGGTTATATATTCACTCGTGCGGCTTTTTTTATTGTCTCTGCATCGAGCAAAATTGGTTAATTATTGTATATGTGATGATATGATTTCTGTTAATTTTTTAACGGATAAAGAGATATAGCTTCTTATATTCTTACATTACGTTATCCGATTTGTATAATTATCATTGATAACGGAAACTGAAACATTATAATAAAGAAAAGTTTAATACGGGAATTCAATTTTTGCATTTTAATTGCGTTAATACTTTACATTGGATAACATGATATTTAATGTAGATATTAATAAAATCAGAATGTGACACGCGTTTAATTTAATCTCATGTAATACTTTGTTAATGTGCACTAATGGTAATCCTAATTAAATTAAAATATACAAAACGAGGGCTTAATTGATTATATATATATATATTATATTATATTATATTGTTATATCCAAATTTATAATTTCTTAAATTTATGGGCCTACTTTTTTGGGTTTAGGCCCGATCCATGCGTGGTAAACTCAAATCCATTTGGAATGCGAACTGCGCCCATTGGTTTTAGACACGCGTCATTCCCGGGTGAACCGGCGGTCAACAAGTCAACACAAGCAGGGGATCTAGCTCAAGGGTAAATAGTAATTATGAGCATCCAAAACAGTTCTGCACTTTTGCCGCCC